CAAGCCCCGGAATTGTATACTGTGGACAGTGGCTCATTACATACCTATAGTCAACAAGTGACTCTCTAGGGGGAAAAAAGTAAAAAAAGTCATTAGCCCCCTAAGAACCCCTTGGCGGCCTCACTCTATGAGTTCTCCGGTCGTAGGGTGGAGCTGACAAGGGGTCCTGAGAGGGTTATCAATCGTTTCATGACAGCAAAAAGATATACTGCTGCATTCGGCTCACCAGTCGTCTCTCTTCGCGTCATCCTATGCTATTACCATCAAACAGTGAACAAAAAAAAACGAAAAACGCGGTGAAAGGACCGAACTCAAGACAGCAAGTACCCTCTGAGTTTCGGTGGGCGGGATAACTGGTCGGTCTCAGAACTGCCACTTATGAGGGCAGCAGCGCCTTTGTTACGTATTGTGAAGCCGCAAAAGTGGTGGATAATATCACAAACTGTGGACTAGTCCAACTGTACAATGAAGGACGCCTAGGAATTGGTGGAGCAGGGGACTGCCATTAAGAACAATGAATTCCCGAAGAAGTGTAACGTACCGTGTATCTCCATTCTTCAAGATATTTCGCTCTCCTTCTTCCCCTAGTAACAAACGTAGCAATCGATTGAATTTCATTGTGGATTCAAAATAGTCACGGGCTCCTTGCAAATAATCTTTACCTCTGGAAAGCATTTTTGGTCGAACAAGATTTTGAAAAAATTGGGAGAGTAGAAAAAAATAGCTCACATCTCTACAGTTTTCTCATCAGCCCACTTCACTTTGTACGCGTTCAAGTTCTTAAGAAATTGACTGAAGGTGCCTGCGCTGATCAACAGTCCTATAAGGGAGCCAGCCGCTATTCCAACAACTCTTGCAATACCTGAAGTGAAATGAAATATTCGCATTTCATCGATAAAAATCAGAACGGCAAAAAAAGCAAAGAAAATGGTGTGAACGCAGCTCATTTGAGCTTGGTGGGGACAGGGCATCTGGAAGTGCGTTTTTCTACTCCTCTCCAAGGCTCAAGTAAAGCGCAGGCTACGAGGGTCGCAGAGCAACAACAGGCCCCTCCCCCAACTACATTAGTACCTAAAGCCTTACAAATCATGGATTCCCTAGGATGCTCATTCAAAGTAATTGAACCGTGTCATGTACATGCAAAATGAGCAGGTCTACACATGGCAGTTAGAAGTAAACATTAGAGTAGTTAGAGGGATCACGCACCGATACTATATCGCGTCTACTATGGTTGTTTCCCTGAGGTGAGCTAAAGCCCTAGTCCCTCCCCCCTATGTTCACGCTTAGAGGAGTACAAAAGTCCTGAGTATAAGCGTGCGTTCATACTTTGCGTCAGCGTTTTGAGCGACTATGAAAGGTTTTCGTTCCATTCTCAGCGTGCACTCAAAAACGCTGACGCAAAGCATGAACGCATTCTAAGTCTGTTTAACGCGTGATATTTAACATCTTGAAAAAATTACCACAAAAAGGAGTACAATTCTGTTAACCGCGAAGAAAACTGGTTGAGAAAATATTTCAATGTCAAGAACATTTGTTCGATCTCGAGTGAACAACGACAGCGAAAAATATAAACTCTGAAAATTACCAATAGCAATGCCATATCCAGCACCAACTATTCCAAACCAACCTAACATCGGTAGACTGAAGAGGAGTCCACTAAACAAAGTTATATGTTCAGGAAGTCAGGGTGCATACAGTAGCCCGAAAATATGGATACAATGTTAAATGTACTTGTTAGCAAGTTGAAGTTGTCGCTGAACAATAAACATCTTTGCTGCATCGGATAACATCATACGCGACGTCAGCTCCTCGCCAACTTTTGAGTTCAATTCGATTTTCCGCCGATGTCTGAAAATCAAACATTTTCATTTCGGGAATGTTCGAACCATCGCATTTTACTGCTAACTTCCAGATGAGTTTTGTCGCAAGACAACGAGATAGCACGAAAGCAAACTGATTCTGTACCAGCACGCAGAAGTCGCTATAAATACCGCCAAGTCGTGCTGCGACAAAACTCCAACTCACTAGATTTTGGCAAAAGGATAGCAACGAAGAGTGAACTCACGATGCATTTCCCTCCCAAAAACATTTCAAAGCGTTACGTTTCACAAGAGCTGGACTGTAAGTGCAGACAGGAGCTCGCGGTTTCACAAAAATTCTTATTTCCGTGAGGAAATAATGAGCTTACAAGAAAATCAGCGCAGTTCGGCGACGGAGGAGGGGGGGGGGCATTTTGCACTTCCGCTGCCTCGCTAGTTCCGGTTCACAAGTCTCACTGTGAACCTATGAACTCTTGTGAAGCTGTAGCAAGCTCATCGGACTACCATGGTGGATGGTATTTGTATGGGATTTCATCGCTTAACCAAAGTCGACAAGTAGTATTTACAAGGGTTGACAGATGGTCCTTGCAACCTTTGGCTGATACTAAATATTTCGTGGCTTCACAAGATTTCACATACTTCACTTGATAGCTCTATACGTCGCTGGGAAGTAGCAAAACCGCAAAATGGTCCCCCTCCCCAACCGAACTGCGCCGAACATCCTACTTACCTGGCTAGGCCTAAGTCAAGTTCAACGTTTTGAGCTAAACGGCGTGCCTGTTCCACATCGTCTAATGATAATCGCACAGGAAATTGTAGTTCAACTCCTGATTGAAGGAAAAAGCATCCATATACGAGGGGCTCACTCGCGTCTGTCAAGCTTACTCGTACCTGAACATTCAAGTCTGTCTTAATTTGAAGGAAAACCCTGAACAACAAAAGTCAGAATCTCATAAAGAAGACTTACTTTTGGTACTTTGATATTGTCCATTTTATCCATTTCCGACTCGACCAATTCTTTTAAATGGTCTGAAGGCGGAGAAGCGCTCCTCTCTACATATGCTTTACAGATGGGATGATCACCGCGAAACCCTAAATACAATCTGTGCGCAGACCTACACACATAGAAGAAAAAAATCAGAGACATTACCGTGAACTAGCAGATATCCTAAAGGATACGACGGAATGATACCGAGGTACGCTTGTCGTATCCACCAATCTACTCTACGAGCCATTTCTCAGAACTCTGAAAGGATTCCTTACTTGTTTTCAATAGGCTCACAAAGAAGAAAAGAATAAGAAACTATAGGGAATATAATGAGAGGAATAATGAACAGCAAACTTTTGAAATTTTGTAAAACCCTTTTCACACCTTGCAGATGTTTTGAAAGAATCCGCTACAGAGAATTATACGGGAATGACCAAACGCCGATTTTCCGCAAGCGCCTGTTGGCGAAGTCAAATGACTTACATATTACACGAATTGTCGACCCTCCCGAATTGCGCGGCCTCCCAGATAGCGGATCCCATAAAATAGCAAACAATAAACGAGCGATCAAAAACTGTATTGAACATTTTATTAATCAAATA